CCAGAATATTATCAAACATGGAACTTATTTTATCCCTGGTTGGAAAAAATGGGGTGGAGAGTAAGAAGGGAATAATTGGTATTGTTAAGCGAATTAAATACCCAGGCGGCACGATGTTTATTAAGCACAAAGAAATGTAATAAATAGACGATGAATAGAATTTATTTAAGAAGAAAAAAGACACAAGGCTGGTTGGCAAGATTGAAAAGCCCGGGGCGGGAGAGGGAGATTTTCTTTCCTTCCTTCTCGCGTCTTCCATTTCCTTTCCTCTTCTCTCGTCCTTGGTCTCACCTTCTGCCTCCTGAACAGCAGCTAAGCCGGGGATTTCATCACTCATCGCTGAATTTAAGTCATTAAATCATGGGTTCTTTTGCAATTTGGCCCAATCTGCAGCCTCTGGCCGGGGCATTACGACGGACGAATGCAGACTGACCCCCCTCCTCAAAAAAAAGGGATACGAGGGAGTCCTCGCCTTACAACCTCGCAAGCGAACCCCCAATTTTCTTTGCAGAACGAGAAACGTTGTTAAGCACGTTGGATCCCACCGCACGACCTTTCTTGCCAGCGTTGTTAAGTGAATCACGGCTGCTTTTAAATTAGTGACACGGTTGCTAAGTGGATCTTACAAAAGGGGATCGCGGGATGGCAGGGACACCCCGACTGTCGTAAATGCGAGCCGGTCGCCCAGTGTCTGAATTTTGGTGATGTGAGGATGGTGCAGTGGTTGCAAGGGTGAAAAGTGCTCACAAATAACATTTTTGAAACTTTGGTTGCTAAGCAAACGGTTATAAGTTGAGGACTGACCTTTACGGGAATATCATATTTCCCCAAAAATAAGCCCTAGCTTGATTTTTTTTAAAAATAAATGTATTTATTCAATGTTTTAACCATTAAAAACAAATTTTCACATTTTGCAACAATACTGTAACAGTGTTCACATTGTTAAATAACGTTTGTAATTGTGTTATCCAGAGCTATGTTGGAGTCTTTCTTATTCTAAGCATTTTTGTACATATATATTTATACATGAACGATATTATTTTATAATTTCTCATACATTATCATTTGACGCCTTTGCGTCTTTTCCTTAGCCGTTTGTACCAAACGTCCCATATCTTCTAATATTCTTCCTTATTTTTCAATGACATCGTCAATCTGTCCATTTCGGTGCATTCAAATATCTTATTAATTATTGCGGTTTCTGGGACGGGGGCGGGGGGGGTCGTAGCCTGTTTCCAGTTTTGGGTGAAGGAAATTCTAGCAGCAGTTATGATATGAAGTATTACGTATTGATGTTTTTTATTTAAATTGGGTTCTAACATGCCTAGCAAAAAAAATTCCTGCTTTGAATTTGATTTTCTGTTTCTCCTCTAGCCAAGCTATAATTTTGAGCCAATACCTCTGTGCTTGAGGGCAGATCCACCACATGGGAAAATATGTTCCCTGGGTGTAATTGCATCTCCAGCATTTTGCTGTCATGTTGGTCCTAGCCTGATTTTTTAAGCGTGCGCCTAATATAAGCCTCACCCCAAAAATAAGCCCTAAGGGAGATTGTCATCACCTCTGAGAGCGGGTGGTGGTGGTGGGGCCCAGTACCGGAGGCGGTGATGGTGCTTGGCAGCGGCCACAGCGTGCGCAGCACAGGTGAGTTGAGTCCCTGTCCAAGCAGCAGGTGGAGGGAGAGGCCGGGGGGGGGAGAGGCACACGATCCAGGTGCACTGCACAGGCCACAGGGAAACCGCGAGTTGATGGGCTGGACCAGGTGAGTGGCAGCGGATGGAGGCAGAGGAAGGCAGGCAGTCTTGACATTCTGTGAAGGCCACGGGCAAGCCGAGAGACACGAAGACCAGCCTCCAGCGACTCACGGTGTCTTGGCTTTCCCACGGCCCACGGGGCACACATCCGGATTGCGCGATTCCTCTCCCACGCCTCTGCCGCCGGAAATCAACTCACCTGCGCTGCGTGGGCTGCACAGACCCAGAGCGCACCTCCCAGTGGGCTTCAGCTGCTGCCGGACAACGTTGTCCCCCTCCCCACCCCCCACAGCTTTTGGGCGTGTGCCGGGGTGGGTGGGTGTCAACTCATAAAAAATTCCTATGCCTGTTTTAGTAGTTGCCATTTTTTAAAAAGCGGGGGGGGGGGGGGGAATCTGGAAGAGCCGGGCAGCAGTTTGAAAGCAAAAGTACCTTCCACCTCTTCTCTTTAAAAGATTGTAACTAAACTACCGGAGCTTTTGCCTGCAAATATATTTAATTGGAGAATCTGATTTATGACACACCCAGGGAAACAGGGTCACAGGGGATCATACATGCAAGGATGGGATTCAAATTTTTTAACAACCGGTTCTGTGGGCGTGGCTTAGTTGGTGGACACGGCTTGGTGGTCATGTGACTGGGTGGATGTGGCTTGGTGGTCGTGTTATTGGCTGGGCGTGGCCAAATCAGTATCACTCACATCGAGGCACGCACCTCCTCACCTGGTCTCATGACTGTGGGGATGCTGCAAGAGTCGTAAATGTGAAAAATGGTCATAAGTCACTTTTTTCAGTGCCATTGTAGCTTTGAATGGTCCCTTCACACAAGAAAGTACCAGCAAAGAGGGGAAAAAACTCCAGAGAAGTTCCTGAGACAGGAAGTCTAGTCCTAGCCAAGAATGGAATAAGGGTTAACGGAGAGGCAGTTTCTGTCAGCAACACCAGAATGTTTCCTTCCTGCCTTCCTTACAGGATTAGCCCTGTAATTTCTTCTAACAACCGGTTCTCCCAACTGCTTAGGATGTTAACAACCGGTTCTAGTGAATAGGTGCAAACTGGTAGAATCCCACCCCTTCATAAATGACATAGGACAGAGTTGGCTTCATACAGGGCAGGGCCAGTATGTCACCTCTAATGAATCCTTGGAAGTTTTTTAAAGTTTGGCTCGAGAATCATGATTTAATTAGAGCGGTTGCTGGAATCCTGACAGTGGGTCGATCACCCTGAAATCGTCTTTCCCTGAAAATAAGCCCCAGTGCTTATTTTGCAAATACAAAAAAATATAAGACCGGGTCTTACTTTCGTGGAAAGCACGGTAGAGGCCCCCTCCTGGCTGGTCACCTAAAAGATTCAGTCCTGCTCAAAAGCAAAGTGGAAGTGTTGCATTGACGGCTTTGCAACAGGCCAAAGAGGGAGGGGTCCAAGCAGGCCTTCTCCAGACAGGCAGACTGACACCACTGCCTGCCTGTCATCTGTGACAGCAAATTACTCACTGACTAGCTGGACAAGCGGAGAGGTTTGCCAGAGAAAAGGCAACCTTCCCCTAGACACACACACAATAGACCCCCACACACAGAGAGACACACGTACGGTGGCCTGTTTGCATTCTCTGCACAGACAGGGGCTGGCCGGCTCGTGAGAGACGGGGATCCTTCCCAGCAGCTGGGAGAAGGTGTTGTGGTTCGCCGGCAGCGGAATCGGACAATGGGGAAGAACGGGGACCAGTCCAGGAGTCTGGAGAGGACTTGAACGAGGGTCCTGTGTCCGACGCAGAGATAGGCCAGGACCATCTGGGAGTGGGGTGCCGACTCTGGAGCCTCTGGAGTCTGGCAGCAGCAAGGCAGAGGAACGAGGGGAGCCTGTTCCCAGTGTGCGTATGCACAGAGCTGCTAGAAGGTGAGAGCAGCGGAAACAAAGGGGACAACCTGGGAGTAAGGCTGGGAGGTGATTGCCCCTCCCATAAGGGATAGAGGACAGGCAAAGGTAGAGAAACCTTTGCAGGAAGCAAAGTTGTTCGTTCTGTTCGGATTCATCCTTGAAGCTCTGTGTCGACTTTGTACTTCAGTTGTTGTTTTTGAATAGCTCATTTGTCACTTTAGTTGTTGGCAGCAATTCAAAGGAGAGAAAGGTGGGTGCTTATCTCGAGGGACTTTTTGGGGCTCATTAAGGGCTGGGAATACACATAATTCCCAGTGTTGAAATAAAGCGAGAGTTGTTTTGAAAATAAGCGTGTGCGTCATTACGATCTCGGAAGCCTCGGTCAGAAGAGAAGGGAAGGCCGATTGGCTGAGCCCCATCCAGCCTCAGGGATGGGCCCTTCGCTTTTGTTTCTGTCGATTAACGAAAATATTCGTAGCTCGGGGCTGCAATGAGGAGCCCTTTTCGCCCTCTGAGCTTGGCGGTTTTCTTGCAGGCGTTTCGTGACCTGACTGGGTAACATCAGTGCCAGAAGGAAGTGGGGCTTGCAGAGAGGAGGAGGAGGAGGAGGAGGAGGAGAGTAAGGAAAAGGGAAGAGGGAAGAGAAGGAGAAGGAAGGAGGAGGATTGTGGAGTCCTTAGTGCTCTAATTGCTTGGCTGTTGTCTTGCAGACATTTCATGACCCAACTAGAGCATATCATCAGTGTTAGGAGAGAGTGAGATTTGCACGGAGGAGGAGCAGAAGGAGAAGGAAAAAAACGCTATAGGGATCTTTCTGCACTCTGAGCTTGGTTGTTTCCTCACAGACATTTCACGACCCAACTAGGCAACAACATCAGGGCGAGAAGAGAGGAAGAGGATTGTGGCTCCTTGGTGGTCTCTGAGCTGGGTTGTTTTTACACAGACATTTCATCGCCCAGCTATGTAACCTCCTCCGTGCTAGTGATGAGGTTAGATGCACGGAGGATGTCCCCCACTTGCAGTTGGGTCATCAAACATCTGCAAGGAAACCACCCAACTCAGAGAGCCCCAAAGACCTCCTTTGCCCTTCTAGCACTGATGGCGTTCCCTAGTTGGGTCGTGAAACGTCTGCCAAGAAAACCGCCCCACGCGGAGAGCACCCAGGAGCCCTTCGGTCCTGAAGAGGGTGCTAGACTTTGCTTGGCAAGGGAGATCCCCGGTTCTTGGGGGCACCTTGGCAGGACTCGGTTGGATGACCTTCTCCTGCCCTCCCGGAGGCCGAATTCCGCTCCAGGATGCCGAGATGGTGTTGGTGACTGGCCTACGCGCTTATCTCTCTCTCTCTCTCTCTTCCTCTGCTCCACCCCAGGACATCTTCACACCCGAGTGCAAATTCAAGGAGTCCGTCTTCGAGAACTACTACGTCATCTACTCCTCCACACTGTACCGGCAGCAGGAATCGGGGCGAGCCTGGTTCCTGGGACTCAATAAAGAAGGGCAGATTATGAAAGGCAACCGAGTGAAAAAGACCAAGCCGTCCTCACATTTTGTACCCAAACCCATAGAAGGTATGAGGGCGGGGGTGGGGGGGACGCCGGTCGCTTTTTCGGGTTCAGACGCAGCTGGGCTCGCTGACTCGAGCAAGCTAATACTTCGCACAAAGTCTCTCTCTCTCTCCGTGTCCCTCTCTGGCCTTTCCACAGCCGAGGGCCTATATATTTTTTCCCCCCACATGATTTTGGGGATGGGGGGGGACAGGGGGTGAGCCCGCAAGGGGGTGAGGGCCACCACAAGGGGGCTGTGTGGGTGTCGGAGAAATCTCCCTGGGTCCTTGTGCATGTGGGAAGCTGACACGAAGCGGAGCAAAAGAGTAAAGATGGCAAAGAAGAAAAGGGGCGCTTCCTGGTACCTTGTGGCACCGTTGGTTGCCGGCCGTTGCCGGGTGTCTGTCCGGGAGCCCAGTTGTCGGGGTTCTGGTCCTGCAGAGGTGCCCCCCCCAGCCCCCCAGCTCTCGCTCCCAGGGAAAGCAAGGAACCGAGTCAAGGAATCGGGCCCCAAACTCCGAGGCCCATGGAAGGCGGTTCGTTCCGGGCGGCTTGTTCGTTTTCCCAGGGAGTGCAAGGAGGAGGCCCAGCTGAATTCCCACTGGGTGGGGCCAAGGATGGGAGACTACTAGGAAACCCCCCAAGGGTCGGGTGGGTTATAAAGGGGGAGAAAAAATTCTCAGATCCCCTTTTGCGACCGACGGATCGGCGAAGTCAACGGGAGAAGCCGGATTCACTTGAACAACCGTCTCAAGAACAACAACGGCCGGGATTCGCTTCACGATTTCGGCCAGGGAGGTCATTTAGCAAGGAAAGCTTGGGGCTCCGACACCGTCATAGGTAGAAGGACACCCCCCTCTAGATAAGGCGATACAGGGAGTCCTTGATTTATGACGGTTTCATTTAGTGACCGTTTGAAGTTACAACGGCACGGAAAAAAGGGGGGCTGCAGGAATTGGGTCTGGCCTGTCTAGAGAAAAGAAGGTCCCGGGGGACGGACGGACAGGATAGCAGGTTTTCCACTATCTGAGGGGGCTGCCCCAAGGAAGAGGAGGGGGCTCAGCCTCTTCTCCAAAGCCCCAGAAGGCAGGAAAGGAAACAAGGGATGAAAATTGACCCAGGAGAGAAGCGACCGGGAACGATTTCCTAAGAATGAGGACAATCCAATTCATCACTGGAAGGTTTTAAGAAGAGTTTGGACAGCCATTGTTGACCTGAAGTGGTGTGAGGTCTCCTGCTGAAGCAGGGGGTTGGACTAGAAGACCTCCGGGGTCCCTTCCAGCTCCTCTTCTGAATTCTTGAGGTGTGGGTTATTCCTCTTTCTTGGAAGAGCAAGTCCCGGAGCAGATGCGGACGAGAGAAAAAGGGAGCAACGCAATCGAGCAGCCGGCCTGGCAGGTTCCTCCTGCAAGGAGAAGGGGAGGATTTGCAGCCTGTCAGATCGGTCGGTCGCAGAGGTTGAGCCAAGGACAAACTCCCTCCCTTTATAATCCCAAGAAGCTCCTGGCAATTTACGGCTCAAGGCGCATCGAAGAGAGCGGGTTAATTCAATAACCGGGGGCGGGGGGGGGCATTCAGACGGGCAGGGAGGGAGGGAGGGAAGGCCAGGCCCCAAATGTTGATGCATGCAAGCTCTTCTCCCGGCCCAAATTGAAATGCAAGACAGGATGGTTGGAAAAACAACCGGGAGGGTGTTTATATATGTATAAAACTATCTAGCTATATCTAGCTGTATCTAACTATAACTCTATAACTCTCTCTCTCTCTCTCTCTCATATCTATCTATCTATCTATCTATCTATCTATCTATCTATCATCTATCTATCTATCTATATCTATCTATCCATCCATCCATCCATCCATCCATATCTGTCTGTCTATCTATCTATCTATCTATCTATCTATCTATCTATCTATCTATCTATCTATCTATCTACCTATCTACCTATCTATCCATATCTATCTGTCTGTCTGTCTGTCTATCTACCTACCTACCTACCTACCTACCTACCTACCTATCCATATCTATCTGTCTGTCTATCTATCTATCTATCTATCTATCTATCTATCTATCTATCTATCTATCTATTTCTATCTATCTATCTATCTATCTATCTCTGTCTGTCTGTCTGTCTGTCTGTCTATCTATCTATCTATCTATCTATCTATCTATCTATCTATCTACCTACCTACCTACCTACCTACCTACCTATCTATCCATATCTATCTATCTATCTGTCTGTCTAGTTGGAAAAAGAAAAACACCCTCCCAATTGTTCTTCAGACCATCCTGTCTTGCATTTCAATTTGGGCTGGAAGAAGAGCTTGCATGCATCAACATTTGGGACTTGGCCCTCCCTATATATAAAGGGAGGGCCAAGTCCCAAATCTTCATCCTGATTGGTTGGGAGTCTTGGTCCGTGTTTATTGGTCTTGGAGTTTTTTGTGTTCTGCTTGATTGGTGTTTCTAATATCTTCTGTCTGTTTTGAAGCTTTTTTTGTCTTGATTGGCTGGCAACATTGAGTTCCTATATTGGAGGCTTTTAGTGCATCTTGGCTCCGAGTAAATGGACGGCTATCATTTATTAGGAAGCCAGGTTTCATCTGGGTGCCTGGTTGGGGTGTGTTTGAGCTGGGCATGATGCACAGGGGACTTCAATGTATGTTCCCTGCCACATACATTGGACAGACCAATAGAAGAATAAGTACTGGCCTGGATGAACACAAAAATGCAGTAAAAAAGCTGGAATGCACTTCCTCACTAGTCCAACACATGAAAGCCACAGGTCATAGCATCGACTTCAATGGCACCAAAACCCTAGCCACTAGAGAAAACCCCAGCTACAGAATTATCAGAGACGCCATTGAGATTGAAAAAAGACCTGAAAGCATGAATAGAAGAGATTATTCCACCAGACTGTCAATCATTTGGAAGCCTGCACTCACAAACAAAAAAATCTCCACACCACAAGCCAAACACCTGGGCACAAACAGATCCCCCCTGATACCTCCAGCTCAGACACACCGCAACCGGGCACCCAGATGAAACCTGGCTTCTTAATAAATGATAGCCGTCCATTTACTCGGAGCCAAGCTACACTAAAAGCCTCCAATACAGGAAAGACAATGTTGCCAGCCAACCAAGACACAAAAAAGCTACAAAACAGACAGAAGATATTAGAAACACCAATCAAGCAGAACACAGCAACCTTCAAGACCCATAAACACAGATCAAGACTCCCAACCAATCAGGATGAAGAAAAAACCATTCTGGCACAGCAGTAGGCCAGCCCCAAATTTAAAACTGAAATGGCTGTGAAAGTCTGACTGACAGACAAACCCAATACAGAATCCTGATGATGGCAGATGAGATTCTGCCGAAACGTTGCTACAACTTTGAAAGCACAACTATAATGACGTGGGAAAATACCTGAACAAAGCTGAATACCATACATATAAATACCCGTGAAAACTTAAGAAAACACACACACACACACACACACACATATATATGGTATTCAGCTTTGTTCGGGTATTTTCCCACGTCATAGTAGTTGTGCTTTTAAAGTTGTAGCAACGTTTCGGCAGAATCTCATCTGCCATCATCAGGCTTCTGTATAGTGTTCATATATATGTGTGTGTGTGTGTGTGTGTGTGTGTGTATGTCAGGGACGTTAGATCGATAAAGTGTCAGGAAATTAAACCATAAAACTCCGTATAAATGCTGAGAGACAAACAGCTAAATTGGATATTCATCAATTATCCAAATCAGTTGATAAAGAAGTTGGAGGATGTTCCCTCTAGGCCTGGGAGTTGAAGTCCACAGGACTTAAAAGTTGCCAAGGTTGGACGCCCCTTTCTTTCTGAAGTTTGCGATTCCGGGGGGCTTTTTAGCCTAGCAAGGAGATGAATGAATGTCTACCAAAGCCTGGGAGATATTCCTCAAGTGGACAAGGAGAAGCTGCAGCGCTTCTTCTCCAAAGACTAGACCCCGAGGTCCCCCAATGGTGTGGAATCTTGTCAGAGAGATGAAAGATGGATATCTTTTAATGGCAATGGTACAATTCACGCTCTGGAATTCACTGCTTTGCGACATGGTGCTGACTAGCAGTTTGGTTGGGTTGTCACCAAGAGTTGGAAGACCCCATGAAAATCCCGAGGACCCCTCACGAGATGGATGAAGATCTATCCCAACATGAATCCGGCATGTTGGAAATGTAGAAAGAAAGAAGGTACCTTCTACCACATGTGGTGGTCCTGTCCAGAAGCTCAGAAATATTGGCTTAAAATTAAACAATGGCTGCAAGAAATTCTTAAGGAACAAGTAGAATTGGAACCAGAATTATTTCTGTTAGGGATGTTCAAAAAGAAATGTGGAAAAAATATAAAATATATTGTATTACACATCTTCACGGCTGCTAGAATAGCTTATGCTCAATGATGGAAGCACAACTGTATACCCTCGGACGGACTGGTTGTTCAAAAAATAATGGCATCTGCTGAAATGGACAAATTGACTTTAATGATACGAGAGAAAGAAGAGTCTGAATACGATAGAATTTGGGGGAAAAAATGGTATAATTGGATCGAATCAAGACAGATAGAAAATGAAGGAATTAAAGAGAAGCAACTTATAGAGTCAATGTAAATATTCGCACAGAATTGTATTTATTTGTAAATATGCACAAAAGGTAGAAATGGATGAGATGGATGTCACAAAACCGTCAATGTCACATTTATTTTTTGTTTTATTTTTAAAATATACGAAAGACTAATAAAGTTTGTTTTTAAAAAAGGAACCAGGAAACCCCCGAGGCCCCTGATGGCGTACGGGGCTTCCTCTGCAGGCCATCTGCTGCGAGATGAAGGGGCTTCCTTGGGCCGAGGGTGGGCCGTTGGGGGAGCTGGCTGCTGGACTAGATGGGCCGAGGGTCCCCCTCCAGCGGGTCCTTGACTTGGGCAGGTCATAATTCAGCGTCGCCCAACAAAACACCTTCCTGGGCTGGGAGTCCCCACTCACTTTCTCCAGTCAAGGGTTTCCAAGGGCAGAATCTGTGGCTGCCTAAGTCCCCCCTCTTGGGGAGAGAAACTGGGGAGGGGGCTTCTCGGTTTATCTGCCGTCTTTCCCCCACCCCACTTTCTCACGGCGTAGGAATGTTTGACAGGTGGACAAGGATGAGCTCCCAATTTCCATTGCTAAGTCAGACAGTTAAGGGAGCTTTTCCCGTGTTATGACCTTCCTTGCTGCCGTTGTTAAATGAACCGCTGCAGTTGTGAAGTTGTTGGAAACCGACACGAAATGGAGGCAACAGCAAAACCTTTTTAATGATTCTTTAGGAATTCCGTTCCTTTTAAAAGGCTTTAGTAACTTTGACTAAGAAATACTTCAAACACAAAGAGCCTCCGAACACCAACCAATATATTCCAAACGTCCACCAGGCTCGAGTGCAAAAAAAAACGTCTTTGCTTCCTGCAAAGGACTCCGGTTTCTCAGCTGGCTTTTATCCCTTAAGGGAGGGGCCATCACCTTGCGGCCTTCCTCCCGAGTCGCCCATTTGGCTTAGCAACAGAAACTTGGCGCTCATCCGGATGGGATGGTGGCGGGGCTGCTGAGCCAGGGTGCAAGGCGGCTGTGCGCTGGGGTGAGTGGGGATGGCTGGTGGGTGCCCGGCCTTGACGCCCCTCCCTCTTTCTGTGTCTCTCCCGCCTGCAGTGTGCATGTACAGAGAGCCTTCCATGCATGAGATTGGAGAGAAGCAAGGACGTTCGCGGAAGAGTTCGGGGACGCCCACCATGAATGGAGGCAAAGTGGTCAACCAGGACTCCACATAGCCTGACCAAGTGCCCACCACCAACACCTTCTTCTTCCTCCTCCTCTTCCTCCTCCTCCTCTTCCTCCTCTCGGGCGACCCCTCTCTCCCTGCCACTTGCCCACCGCCCGTCCCCCACCCCAGCGAGACTGGAGCCAAGATCCACGGGCGACTTCTCTCCGCGTAGGATGGGGCATCCCTGCCTCCTGCTCTGGGACAGAGTCCAGCGAACACAGACACCCACCCACACTCGCACACGCACACACGCCCCCCACCCCCACCCACCCCCGAGAGGGGATGTATACCCCGCTGAGTGCGTGGAGGCCCGGAGAACTTCATTGAATCTGGATTCCATCCGGACTCTCATTTCCATTTGAAGCTGCAAAACTCTGTGCTCCGGTTTACTTGGATGGGGGGAATGGGTCAACTCTGCATAACAAATTATTATTATTATTATTATTATAAATAAATTATCTATCTATAATAAATACATAATAAAGGTGTTATCTTTAAAAAATAAATCAGATTTGCTTATTGGAGGCGTGAACTTTCTTTGTGATAGGGAAGCGAAGGGCGAAAGTGGAAGGAATCGGAAATGGCAGGACTTTTGGGTCTGGGGGGGAGGGAGGGGGAGGGGCAGCACCCCCTGGATGCAAATAAGGGGGAGGGGCAAGCAGGAAGGACTCTTGCAAGGTCCAGTCTGGGCCTGCCACGGGGACCAGAGGTTTAGTCTTCCGAGATTCTGGGGCCATCCTCCCATTGAACATTGAGTTGTGCAGTGACTGAGATTGTCGGACGAGCAGGTAAAAAAACAACCGGGGAAGCGATCGAAGCTTTGGAAACGGGGGCCTTGTCAGTCAACAGAAAGGCCGATTCACCACCAAGCTTATCCGGTACTCGGAAGCCGGCTTAATGGGTGGCCATCCACACCCCAATCCACACCTAAAA